TTTACTAATGCTCCTAATATTTCTTTAAAATATTCTATTAGCTTTGCGTATTCATCACTGATTTTTCCCTCTGGTGCCGCTTCTGAAGACTGATTTTCTTTTTCTAAGTCTATATCACTTCTAGTAACTGATTTAATAGCATAACCTTTATAATTACTGTTAACATTGACCCAAAAATCATCTACTGTATCAGTAAAAAGTAGAACGTCAATGTTTTTACTTAAAAACCCTTCTATTTGGGGGCTAGAAAGTAATTTAGCAGGATTATCTCCACTTAAGTAATATATAGTATTTTGCTCATCTTTAAAGTTACTAATATATTCATCAAGGCTAATCATTTTTTCCTGTAAACTACTTCTAAAAATGCAGACTTCAAGCAATTTATCATGATCAGAAGTTGCTTCACATAATCCTTCTTTCAAAGCAGCACCAAAATTAGACCAAAATTTACTATATTCTTCAATTGACTCATCTTTCTTCTTTTTAAGCTCTCCTAGAACTTTCGTAGTTATAGCAGATTTAATTTTTTCTAAAGTTTTATTATGTTGTAAGGACTCTCGGCTGATATTGAGAGGTAAATCTTCAGAATCAACAACACCTCTTAAGAATCGTAAATAGGAAGGTACTAAATCTATATTTTCATCCGAGATAAATACCCGTTTTATGTATAATTTTACTCTTCTCTTGCGATCTGGATGAAATAAATCAAACGTTTTAGTTGAGGGGATAAATAATAAATTAGTGAATTCAACAGTACCTTCATTTCGATTATGGATAGTCACCCATGGATCGTCAACAGCATAGGATAGAGTCTTGTAAAAATCCTTATATTGCTCTTCGGTTATTTGTGACTTAGGCCTTGTCCATAATGCGGAAGCTGAATTAAGTTGCACTTCATTAGAAGTAGTTTCATCAATAAAATATATTGGTATTGCTATATGATCAGAATAGCTCTTGACTATGTGTTTTAATCTAAAATGATCCACATAGCTTTCTTCCTCTTGTTTAACGTGCACTACTACTTCTGTCCCTCTGGCAAAATCATTGTTTTGGTAGTCTCCTATTGTATATTCTCCAAGACCATCTGATTGCCAAGTATATGCTTTTTCTTCTCCTGCTTTCCTAGAGGTAACAGTTATGGTATCAGCGACCATAAAGGCAGAATAAAACCCTACCCCAAACTGCCCTATCAGCATACTATCCTTTTTCATATCCCCTGAAAGATTCTGGAGGAAATTGCCAGTACCAGACCTGGCAATGGTACCTAAATTATCAATTAAATCTTCCTTATTCATACCTATACCATTATCTCTAATGATAATCTGTCTTTTCTCTTTATCTATCTTGACAGTGATTTTAAATGTAGGATCCTCTGCAATGAGTTTTGGCTCACTAAGAGATAAATAACGTAATTTATCACAGGCATCAGAAGAGTTAGATATTAATTCCCGCATGAAAATTTCTTTATTACTATAAAGAGAATGTATCATTAAGTTTAAGATCTTGCCTACTTCAGCATCAAATTTCTTTTTTTCTTGAGTCATATTTAATCCTATTTTTTTGCATACCTAGTATAAAAAATGGAAGA